ACACTACTACTACTACTACTATACACTCGTATGAGAAACGAAGCAAAGGTCTACGAAGAGCAATACAAAGAAAAACCATCTAAGTAATGCGATGAAATTGGCGGCCACTCCATTCGATGTTGTTCATTTAAATCGGTAATTAACAAATACCGTTTTTTGTTGTTGTTGTCGTTCTTTTAAGTTTTCAATGCATAATAATGCAAAAAGTGTTAGGAGAATTAATTTTAATCGCACGGGTCGTCGATCTGAGAAAAAGAGAAAAGTATACACGAGGTAGCGGTTAAAAGAGAAATCAAGGGGGGAAAAAATAAAATGAAAAGAGCATGCGACTAATTATGGAGTGGTTCCTGCAAAAAAAATCGACTGAGCTCTCCTGTGATACGCAGATGTCACTATAATTTCGTAATAAATGTTTGTAACGAAACATAATTAATGTTAATAATGATCGCGTTCACTCTCTTCCCGACTGAACTCCCGAACAAATAAACAAATAAAAAAAAAAGAAACAAAGAAGAAAACTCTCACGGCGTTTAAGTAAACCGAAAGAAGGAAGTGGTTCTTCAATCAACGTCGTTTTTAAACCAGCTCGATTTACCGATTTATGCGATCGAGGAGCGTGCGTTTTTTCGATTCCTATGCGTACAATTTTACGCCGAGACGATGAACGTGTATGATTAATAGATTTTATGCGATTCCGCTTTTTACGTATTATTGCAATAACGATGACGAAAAAAAGAACCTATTTTGCACACGCGCACACACACACACGAAACTCTGACGACAGAGACACAATCACACAAACATATTTTCAAAAAAGAAAATACGTGCATTTTGTGTCCATTCTTTGTGACTGAGTTGACACGATGCATAATTAAAGAAATAATAATAATAAAGTCTGTCGTGTGTACAGAACTTGAAATTAAGTGAGAAAGAGAAAGAATGAGCGAGTGAATGTGAGACAGAATGAGCGAGAGATAGATAGATAGAGTAAAATATGCGTTAAAAAAAGAAGAGGATTGCAATGCAATTGCATATACATAATAAAACTCTTATACATAGTATAAATACGAACAAGAAAAATAAATTAATACGATATACATGTTACACGATACATAGGATGGTTATGTAAACCTGTTGACATGTAATGTCTATGTTCTAATAAAGATTAGGATATTTTATATACATATATATATATATATATACGTATATACATACATGTATATATATATATATGTATATGTATTATATATTTGACATTCTGTTTGTAATGTATAAAAAGTTGCCGGTCTAATGATGCTTGAAACAGAGACGATTATATCTTGAGGAAGTTCGATAGACGGAGATTAACAAACTTTGTACGCTTAAAGTAACAGACAAAAGAAAAATACATACGAAATGATGACGATTTGATCGATGGAATAAAGGTATTCAGAATGCGAGCGATACGAGATGTATAAAAATAAAAAAATATTACACTAACAGGAGGATTGCACCGAGTGTTCCGCATCAATTGTTTGAAAATGATTCGAAACACTTTGTACGTTTCCCTTGCAAGCTCTACTACCCTTATTATAGTATATGGAATAGTCTGCCATTGGATTACTATCGTAGACAACCATATTTTTAACCAATCTTTTGGTTAATTACTCTGTGTGTGTGTGTGTGAGTGTGTGTGTGTGTGAGTGTGTGTGTGTGTGAGTGTGTGTGTGTGTGAGTGTGTGTGTGTGTTCGGACGACTTCGTTAAGCGATCTTCAGTTCTAAGTACAGAAATATTCAATCTACAATTCGTTGCTCCTGTTAATTATTAGCAATATATCTTCTCAGGTCTGCAGTTTTCATATTAGTTTTGGTCAACGACCAGAAACAAAAAAAATATATATATATATATGTAAGTATATACATATATTACTCTTCAAATTATTCTGTGACTTGTAGCAAAATATTCAGCTGTCTACCACAACCATTTTGTGATTTCCTTATGTAGAATTTCTTAAGAAATGTCTCAATGATTCATCGTTGTGAGCGTAATCGACAAGTACATCCTCGTATCTGAATATTCAACAAATATTTGAGAACACACTCATTGATTTAACTTGTTTACCATACGATATATTCATTGGTACTCACTTTAAAGGCACCTGAACATTCTTTCCCTCAAGTGGTCCAATCGATCGCACCCTTTTTAACACCGCCCAAGCCAGCATCCTCTCATACTCCAAATATCTCTTATCCTGAGTGAACCAAAGAGCCAAGGCACACCTTCTGCCTCGTATAACACCTCTCACGCCATGGAGATTCTCTCCGCCAGCGGAGAAAGCCACCATACGTCCGCAACGCGGTGAAACTACATAGTCCAGTTCTCGAATCACACGATCTTTGGCGAAAAAGAATTCACCACCTTGGAAATCATCGTTCAGGTATAAAATCGCTGAATAATCCCTCCAGACGTATGCAGGACGTTCGCGAAGACAGGTATCTTTGTCTCTCAACAGACAATTGTCTGCGTGAACTTGATGACTCAAGTCGTCACGATCCACTGGAGAGTCTAAAATGATAAGAAAGATATATTGTCTTATCACAGAACAGGTATGTCTATTTATATTGTGCTTTTAGATAGAAGAAGAAAAAGAAGAAAGAAGAAAAAAAACTCGGGACGAAGAGATGATTATTTTAGCTCTACATTGTCTGGTCACCGTTACCCACGAGCCGTACCAAGTGATTTGGTTGCAAAAGGAACCAGAAGCATGGTGATGCATCGGGTGAAAATTACCAGGTAGAGCCGTACGGCAGACCAAATGAGTATAGCTGAAATACAGGTGACGACGTAGTCCGAAATACCTTTCCACGTGCTCGCGGGCTTTCTCGGTTTTCTCCAGAAGCAGTTCTAACCATTTTCGATCTATTTGCCCGAAGTACACCATCTGAAATGATGTGTAATCTCTGTTATTCGTACAACACAATGAAACTGTAGTATTTTACACGAGATGAACATTTTACCAAGGCTGTTCTTCCAATAGTTATTCCTTCGAATTTTTCATACTTCGAATGTGGACTTTTGTTCTCGCTGTATCCATCCCCTTCCACCGCATTTATCTACAGAGAGGGACAAAGGTATGAACTACATTGTAGAAGATAAGTGATTGACGAGTTGGCGATAACATACAGAGGCAAATTTCATTAAAGATTCACAGTCGGTAGAGTTGAGAAAACCGTCGGCTACATAGCGATTTTTACCGTCGAGATCTTTGTCTTTCGCTATTAGATAAACATCGTTCTTGACCCTAGGTTGCTTTCTATCGTTTATCTTGTATCTATGATGCTCTCGAGTCGTAGAAAGATATCTTGATAAATTTGCGTGAGAGGATAATGAATGACCCGGTGGTGGGTGTAACGCTGCGTCAAAATCTGGTTTCTGAAAGGAACAGAACGCTGATACTTTTACCATATATAACTGGTTCAAGCATATTAAAAACGGAAAAAGAATTAAATTATAAATCAACGATTTGACGCCTGTACTCTCGCAAGACGAATGCATAGATGAATTTACGGTTGCATTGTGCAGGCGTTTCAACGAGAAATCGAGCGGCATTGAGTTTAGTAGAGATATAGATAGTTTGAGTAAATACAGTAGAATAACTGTTTAATAAGAAAGTAATTTCGTTTTCGAATATTTTATTAGATATATATATTTTTTTTTACAAAAGATACAGATAGAAGAGCAAGAAAGAAGTTTTGTTAAGTACGAGCTTGTAGGCCTTAAGCTCGATACCTGATCGATAGATTTATACGCGCGTCATCCTTTGAACAAAAACCAAACAATCATCTCGATCGATAGGGTTAAGTATCTTTGTCTCAGTCTCTCTCTTTTTTTTTTCTTATAATTCATTCGTTACCTTTCCTAGCTCCTTCTTTTTGCTATCCTTCGTCTCGTTCTTTGGTACCTTCTTCTTCTTTGACTTCAAGTACTTTGCGTCTATAATTGAAAACTCTTTGGAAATATAACGAAGAAGGCTGAACTCGTATTCCTGTCTCTTCACATAATTTAGAGCTTCCTAAAAGTAAATGTATAACTTTAATTATACATCACCCCAATCTAAAGTATCAATCTGCTTAATATATCTTCGTTATTTGTTGCAAATGATCACCTGTCTCGGTGTAAAATATTCTTCCTTGACCTTTGGCTGAGCACTATAGTAATTTCTGTTCTCCAGCATAGTTTCGTCGACTGGGTCAAAGAGCAAATAACTCTCTACAGCAGTGCAGGCTTTCTTCAAATCACCAACTATAAAAGAGCGTGACGTGTTGTTACAACTCGTTTACATATCATACCAATTCAGAACAATGTTTTGCAAGGCCCTGTCCAAGTCGTGAAATAAACTGGCACAACGAGAGATTAGATCAGCGACGAAAACATTCTAGTTTAGGCAACGTGACTAGCTCGAGGAGCTATTTTCACGGGATAACGACGTTGTTCGTTAAAATGGAACAGGCTGACTACTTAGGCGAGATTAATCAATTAAACCCCCTTCGAGCTATGACTAACAGCTTCCTGAGGAGCTTCGTTTGAGGGACATGACTATTAATTCATCGTAGTCACTGGAAGGACGTATGGTTTGTCAGATAACTACCGGTACATCGAAGCCTTCTTATCACTTGTTAGCCTAACACGAAGTTAACGTGTGTCCGTAATTTATCAAACTACTGCTCTGTCTCTATTATCCATAGAATTGCTTTGGTTACGATAAGCATTTTCATAAATAGATACGTGTATACGTTTGCTGAACAGGATACACAACATCGATAAACATTGGCCAGTTTATTTGCGTTTCTGTTCCGTCCAGATACACGGAAATATTTTAGGTGAAACATGTGGAAGATGTATAGTAACGTTAACCCTTTAGTGATCTACGGGACGTATATATCTCAATGGATCTCAATTTAGTATCCGTTACAGATGCGACGATCAGTAGATAAATAAGAAATTCTTGAAAAAAATAACTCGATCACAAATGGGTTGAATGAAATTTTACATCTTTTACCTCAACGAATATACTCACGTTTGTAATAAGAGAATTGTAAATAATCGTAGTGATCCTTGAGCATGTCCTTTCGGAAATCGCCATTCACGTTGTTCAGTATGTCCGAGCAGGTTCGTTTACACTTCAAACAGTACGCGAAATGATCTGAAAGGAGAACATGGAAGAATGAACGTCACGACTATATTTAAAAGCGCCATAAAGAACAGCTTCGTTTACGTTTCAGATTCTCACTCACTGGCGATGGAAGAAGTGAACTCTGGATGCCAGCCCTGATCAAAGGGACCCTCACAATAGAACCTGCATTCATCCTCTCCTTGCAAGTACAAGCTGAGCGATGATTCAAAAAGACCTACCGCTCCAGCATAGTCCTCGCTTTCGTAAGCCGAGACTGCATTGAAGTAGACGCTGACATAAGCTGGTGATTCTAGATTTACAACATTATCTGCTTGCACCTCTGGCAGTGCTAGGTAGCCTACTAAAGTTTCTATGCTAGCCTCGTGATCCGGATAAGCGATCACGAATGTGAATAGCGCGTTAGCTGCGTCTTGATATTGTTTTCTCTGCAATTCATACATAATGTAATATTAGATTTTTCGTGGAAAATATAATATTAACAAATTAAGAACAGAATAAACGAGAAGCTGAAAAGATTTCTCAAAAAATTAGTAAAGAAGCCTGTGTTAGGAAAATTAGTAATTCAAAAATTGAGGTTCGTTCTATCAAACGATATTATGGAAAAAAAAATTGCACCCAATCGGTTGGCAATGTTTAATATAAAAGTTTAATATAAAAGTAGAGTTAATAGGGAAAAATTACAAATGATAAAATAAGCGAAGAATCGTATGACAATTAAAAAAGAAATGGAATTGAAACAGGAAGGTTGCCAAGAGTGGTACAATCATATTTCACGCAATCAGAAGGCCTGATTGTTTCAAGGGAGACTTTACGGGCGCTTACGTGACGTCCATGACGCTTACGATACGTCGAGTACGTAGGCCGAGTTGTTTTACGGTCGAGTTGACCGTTCCGAACGTTATACTCATTATTTACTAAAAAGTTGGGGGGTGTGGGATTAGCGAAGTCGCAGTTGCGTAAGCTCTGCTATTAGAATTCGTCGAGGCCGGCTTAGAGATGGCTAAAAAGTGTCGGTACTCTGATAATAACGTTGACAAAATAATTAGATAAACCTGTTTATCGTAACAAGAAAAATCTCTAATATATTCTCATCAATTTTTATCATTTTCTTTTGTGTCCAAGTTCTTTTTAATTGTTTTCAACTGCAACTTAGGTAAGATAAATATTTGCGAATTGTAGTATGATCAAAAAAAAGAAAAAATATTTTTTCCTAATTACCTGATAGTAACAAATATGCAGGTACTCGTAGACTCGATGGTCGATTAATTTCTGTTCAGTCTCACGTGGCAGTGTCTTGAGCGCTTTCGCGCCGGCTATCTCGCGATACTCGTGATTACACATCAAAAGGCACAGCGTCTCTTTCACTTTTTTTTCGTAAAAGTACAAATCGTCAATATTCTCCGGAAAGATCGGTGCCTCGCCATCAGCCTTCGACCGGCATTTTTTCCGACAATTTACTATCATACGCTTGTAGACCTTATACCTGAAAAAGCATGAAACAACGATAACAAAATATTCTATAATTTATATCATTGCTATTTAACTAAAAACGTAATTCTTTCCTTCTTAATATCAATCTACATAAAAATGTAATTTTTTATATATATATCATCCTCTGTTGTAACTTTTTCATTGAATCGTTTTACTTCGATTTATTATTTAATCTTTCTTTTTTGTCTTTTATCGTAGACAATTTTCCACTCTAACTTGAAACTTCAATTTCAGATGTACCCGTGCGAAACCGCGTTGAAATCGTCGATACAGCGGTCCCAGTTATCTTCGAGGTAAGCCTGAACAGCATCCTCGAAGAGCTCGTTCAGAGTCCTATTCTTCGTGGACCAGTTCTCCACGTATTGCTCCCCTAAATCCAACCGTTCCTCCTCTGGGATTACGTTGTTCGAAGTGTCGTTGTTGCCGGTGATCGCACCGCAGAGAAGTAAGAGTATAACGAGCCTCATCATCGTGCATACTACTCATCCGTCCCGATTCGTACTGAGGTCCACTCAAGGAGAGCTGAAACTCTGTGAGATGTTGATCCACACACGAGGCATACGTAATCGCCTATCCCCACTGTTCCTTTTCCTCCTTCTACTTACCAAATGTGGCTTCAGTGCTGTATACTATACCATAGATACTCGACCGTTGGAACATCAACGGTTTTCCGTCGTTTTACGGATGTCAGTATGCCAAAATGTGTATACAGTTCTCTGGTTTAAAAATAGAATAGATTAGATTCAATAGATTCTGATGTTTGTAATATTTTAATGATTTCTTTATGTTGCGAAAGATTTACTTTTTTTTCTTAAAAGGTACCAAGTAGGATGGATGTTTGGAATAGATTCGATATGATGGATGGTACGTTGAAATTAATTTTTAGGAATAGATAGCTGTTCTTTCCCGAGTTGCTACTGAATTTGACAATCTCCCTCCCTCTCGATTCCTGTTGCCATGGTAAAGGAACGCTGTACGATGCCACGTTATACACGGTGACATGAAAATTCTGGAACAAGTATAGATATGCGAATATTCCGTTAACGACGAAATCAGAAGATACTCGAATGGTTTTGAATATAACAAGTCGTTACTTCGTGTCATAGATGCAAACGATTGGAGAACGATTGAGTTAATATTTGGCGCGCAATTCAAACCACTGATCGGTCATGCGCGGTAAAACGCGTAGATGCGTTCTAGGAAAAATTGTCTACTTGTTTAAATATGGTGAAAATGAAGTTTGAATTTAGCTAAAAAATAATATCGATCACGGTGAATATTACGAGAGCGTCACAGTTGAACGACACTGATGCAAAAAGATAATCCTGAAAAATGTCACCCAAGTGCGTTGACCCTCTACGAATGCTCCAATTTTCATTTTTCGTTCCGTTCGAACGACGACAATCGCGATACGGAAGAGAATTGAAAGGACAGGCAGAATAATACGTGTAATAAGAAATGAAATTGTATTTCACGTGGATAGTGTGTAGTAATATAATTATCAAACGTTCGTTTAGTTCGCTAATAAACATTCTCATGGAGAACACCCGTTCGCTTATCACAAAGACAAAAAAAAAAGAACAACAAAGTTCATCGAACATCTTTTTTAAAGAGAGAAAAAAAATAGGAGAGGTGGAGAGAAAAAGAAAATGTGGTACTAGAATAGCTCGAATATCGATCGCAAATCTACAAAATTTTGTTTTTTCTTTTTTCTTCGTTTGTTCTACGATCTCGTTTTCTAAATCCTCTAGGAATAGTATTACGGAAAACAGTTCCAGGCGAATCGATGGTGATTGTTTTTTTTCTTCTTTTTTTTTAATACAAATGTCCCATATTTTTTTTTCTTTTCTTACGCAATTACAACTTTTCGTCTGCTCTCGCGAAACAGGAAGGGGAAAACGCGTGTACAACGAGAAGCGACGTATCCTCGAAGCTGTTCTTTCTTTCAGCTTTTTACGACGAGAAATTTGTTCCCGTCGACGAGAGGAATGCGATCAAATTCCAATGAAATTCTCGTCGAGAATGTAACGATAATTGGCGCCAGCGGAGAAGAGTAATCATCTTTAAAACTACAAACTTTCCAACGTATCTCTATAATCCTTCACACAATGATCATAACCCACGCAAAAACGTAACGAAACAATGTTCAACAAACAAAGCGTCGATCGTCTCGAATCGTACACATCACACAATTACGCGTAATACAATATGCAAAAAAGTCTCTTTCTCTCTCACTCTCTCTCATTTTTACGTTCCGTGACAGTCGAACAGAATTCGCACGCACACGTGAATATACAATATATACTCGCACGGCCAACGATAACGATTCGACCAATCGATTATTGCCATGGCGTATCGATTGTTCAACTCGTTCGTTTGTACACGATCGGTCTTCTCTTGCAATTAAGAACAGGAAGTTTCTCTCGAATGATCGTTGTACAACGCTAATAATTAATTAGTGTCACTTACGCGTCTCTACATGCGGAACAAGAATGAAAGAACGATCTGTGTAAGCGAAAGTAACGAAAAAATTAACAACGATTGTGGCTCCTCTACGCTTCTACAAACTTCTTAGCTTTCTTACCATTTATTATACGCCTACTACGAATAGTTTAATAACACGCGGCCCATCGAAATCTTCCGGACAATAATTATTTTTTTCTTTTTCCTTCGGACATTTTCGTTTAATTCTACACCAAACGTGTGCTACTTTTTTTTCTAGACAAAAGAAATGTTCGAACGTCGCGCAATACAATATTCAGAGAATCTTCCAACGTTCACCTGGAGCTTTCTTCTTCCTGATCACATTATTTTTATTACTTTTTCTTTTTTTCTTTTTCACTGCAGATCGCGTTAGCCTCGTCGAGCAGCGAATTCGTCGGATTCGATAAAACGCCCAAGCTGCCTCGAAATCCTTGTGAAACGCAACAATACAACTATCGGAGAGATTTCTTAACTAAGCGACATCAACGCTATAATATCGATCGTCGGTGTATATCAACCGTACGCTAAGCAGAGGAAAGGTAATAATGCGGACAGGGAGGAGAGAGGCGCGATAAATGGCTATTCGAAAAACTCTTAATAACAACGTATCTTGAACGTTAAAATCGACAAAAATTATCATATGATCGAAATTACAATTCATTTTACTCTTATTAGCCCTTAATGTTAATCGTGACGCTTCGCTTCGCGTTCGGTTCGGTTCGTTTGTCGAGAAGCCTCTTCTTTTCCTTTTTTTTTTTTCATAAACAGATATACAAAAAATGTCGAACGGAGTTGAATTTCTATCGCATAAGTGATGAAAATGAAAATTAATACATTGGTTAGGTTACATGATTAGTAAAAAGGGTTTCGGTTGGAATTTGTCGCGAATTTCTCTTCTTCTTCTTTTATGTTCGCATTTTAAAAAAGGCCCTTTCAGAGAGGGGGCGTGTAAAAAATGATGCTCGCGAATCGTGCCTCGTTAGCGTTGCTTACTTTTCTAAAGCCACTTTCTTTTTTACATTTTTTGTATGTTTTCTTTTTTTTGTTCTTTTTCTCGCTTTTGTTTCCTTAAGTATTTTCCCTTAGCGTCTATTCTTTATACGTTTAAAAACGGCGTACAATACACAACGCAAAAAATGAGCTCGTATGTGGTTTCGTATTATGTTCACCCTTTCATGAGCAATGCGCGCGGTAAAACCACAGTCGCTCGCTCGATCATTGTAACGATGATCATCGACGATGTTTTTCTTTTTTTTTTAAATGTACCTTTTTTCCCCTTTCTTTCTTATGGCAGAGACACACATACGTTTTTCTATATACCCTATGTATATCGTGTTGCTCTTTTATGGCAATGTCTCCTCTTTTTCTTTTTCTTCTCCTTTCGTGTTACAATTAAGCGGGCTTTTATATCGCGGGAGAAACGCGGAGAGTTAACGCGTGGCGAAAACCTCTTTACGGGGGGGGGGAGAAAACCGGAAATCGCAGTTCGTTTTCCAGTTCGCCATCTTTCTTTTTTTCTTTCTTCCTTTTCTCCTCGGTTCACGATTAAAGCATACACTTGGTTTTTTTTTCTTTTTTGCCCTTAACTAATATACACCTTTTCGTTTTTTATATACAGAATAAATTAACGAATACCTAATACTAATTAAAAACAAAAAGAACGAAAATTATTATGCGTCTCGGGGAGAACGTGTCCAGTCTCTCTGGGACGCTCGCAGTTATTTCTTTTCTTCTTCTACTGTTTCACTTTTTCTCTCATCGTTGAAAAATACCTCAAGATGCTTCCAATGCGATATGTTCGTACGTTCTCGCCTATGACCGGGGCCGAGACAATTTGCATTTCTATTCGGATTACCCTTGCTTTCCGACGTTTCTTCTTCTTTTTTTTCTTTTTCTCTGTTTTCTCTACACTTTGCTCTTTTATTTAATCGACTTGTTATAGGTACTTGTGGATATCTTGCATTCGGAGGAGCACCAGTTTTCACGCACTAGGATATCTGAGGCGATAAAACGTTAGCACCAATTCGCGTTGATAGAACTCGATTAAATGCAATCACAGCGCGTGTGATCGAACGAAACGGAGAAGGGTTCTAATTATCATTGTGCATACGGGAGCATCTTGTACGCTAATCATTGCGGCGATAATTCGTTTTACCGTATATACTCGCGTTGTATAGGCCGATTCTTCGAAAGAGAGAAAAGAAAAAAAAGCAAAAGAAAAGAACCATTCTCAATTTAAAATTCATTTCACGATCAACCATTTTCTTTCTTTCTTCCCTTCTTTTCTTTATTTTTTGTTTCTTTCTCACGAGACGCACGATTCGTACACAAAGCAAAATGTAACAGTTTCTCGATTTCACAGTTTTCCACAGATAGAAATTAATCAATTTCTTCTTTCTTTCTCTCTCTTTTTTTTGTTCTTTTATTATCTATCGCGCAGGTCCAGCCTTTGCCTCGTATATTCTTACACAAAACAAATTGGTATGTCTAAATATATTCTGGTGTGTACGTTTAAAAAAAAAAAAGAAAAAAATAGGGAAGAAAAGAACGTTAAAAATTCTTACATTTATATCTGAATCACGAGTATATACGATGCTATTTTTTTGTTGCTTTCTCTTCTCTTATCCATTCATGAATATTATACGCATTTGGGAAACTATCTGTACGCGACGACTCGCTGACTGTTTTATAACATGCTGATCCATACATGATGTGCTAATAATTAGACGTTAAATGTAAATGAGATCTGTGTAAATACTGTTGCCCGAAGTGTAAATTACTCCAATATCTTTCTGCTCATTTTTTTTTTCCTCTTCTTTTTCCTTTTCCTTTCCCGCGGAGAATTAGCAACGGCAATTTCCAAAGGATTTTGCGCTCATGTTTTTCTTTTTTTTTTCTTTTTTTTCGTAAGATTCGTTGAAACGGTATTCATTTTAATCGCAGTTGTTATCTACTTTCATCGTCCACTTACTTTCTGTATTCAACGATCGTATGACAAAAAAAAGTATTACGGTTACAGAATGAACGATGGCCTATAAAACACCGATCGCCCGCGAGATATATCAGAATTATACCAGCTAAAGCTATGTGTTCAGGTATGTTATTCGATGGAAGCCTATAAATACTTGATTCGAGTAGAAACCACTTCCTTTTAAAGCTGTAAAAACTCTGAACCAGTTTACTATTTTCCTTTCTTTTTTGATTTGCCATCTTTCTGATCTTGCTCTTAGAGTTACAACCTTCGTAGGTCCGCCGTGTCCATCAGACGTTTGATCGTGTTTTTTTTCTTCTTCCTTCGTGTGTAAAATTTGATTGGAAATAGAGTGTGTTTAAAAAGAAGCCCCCCCGACAATTTATTTCATTCGTAAAGAAAAAGTCTGATCGTTACACGCGAACATCTATCTATTCGAACCCTTAAAAATATCTGATCGATCATTAAAATGATTCGTTCAATTGTTCTTCTTATCCTTTCCAGATCCAACAGTTTCGAAAATGCTCGAGTGTTGTGTACTCGAGGAAGTGTTACTCGAGACGTCAGAATTTTCCACTTTGTACTTCTTCGTCTTTCTCCCTTCTGGATTAGCCTCTGAATTTTTGCCAGCTGCCTTTTGCTCGGTTGCCTTATGAGATACGATTGATTTCTCGTTACTCTGAGACAATTTCTGTGACTCTTCTCTCTTCTTCTCGCTTCCCTGAATCGACTTCTGCGTCACAGCCTGCGAAGAGCCTCTTTCGTTGGCCTGTGAGCAACTCTTCTCGTTAACTTGAGACAATTTCTGAGTTGTAACCTGCGAAGAGCCTCTTTCGTTGGCCTGTGAACAACTCTTCTCGTTAACTTGAGACAATTTCTGAGTTGTAACCTGCGAAGAGCCTCTTTCGTTGGCCTGTGAACAACTCTTCTCGTTAACTTGAGACGATTTCTGAGTTGCAACCTGCGACGAGCCTCTTTCGTTACCCTGTGAGTAACTTTTCTCGCTAGCTTGAGACGATTTCTGAGTTGCAACCTGCGAAGATCCTCTTTCATTGGCCTGCGAGTAACTCTTCTCGCTAACTTGAGACGATTTCTGAGTTGCTACCTGCGAGGAGCCTCTTTCGTTCGCCTTGTCACTATCTTGAGACAATTTCTGAGTTGTAATTTGTGAAGAGCCTCTTTCGTTGGCCTGCGAAAAAGCTTTCTGAGCAAAAGACTGCGAGTTCTTCTCGTTGCTCTGTATTGAAGCTTTTTGACACGAAGATTGAGAGCCTTTCTCGCTGCTTTGCGACGTAGCCTTCAGAGACAAACTTTGTAAGCCCTTCTCGAAGCTCTGATATTGCTTGTGGGACGCGTTTTGAGAACTACGCGTATGTACGTTAGAAGAATTATCTATACGAGTAATCTCCCCAATTTTATTAAAGGAGAAGACTTCTGAATTCTTCGTGCACGAATGCAGCCCGTCTACGTTCGATTCAAAGCGTTCGTTACACTCGAAGATCACATCTTGTTCCATGGATCGATTCGAAATATTACTCCTATCGTTCTTGTCACAAGGTAGAACATCCTTCGAGTAATCATCGCACTTAGAACCAGTCGGTGAGTCCTTTTCCTCGGCTATTCTGGGTAGTTGAGTACTACCACAGGAATTGGGTATACCCACGGTCCCTAAATTAATCGATATCCCGTGGGAAATTTTCGAGTAATCCGCTTTCTGTTCTGGAGGCATTTTCTTTTCCCCTTTGGTGTCGTTCACCTCTTTAAAACTCTCGTTGCTCTCGTCAGATATTTCTGAGTAAGATGATTGAGCTATGGTCACACGAGGTGTTACTTTCACCGATGAGTTCGCTAACGGAGAGATGGAGGTCTTGTTCTCAGCTGAACGAGGATGAAGCCTGTCTGGACTGAGCGCTCTCCTCAGTAATGGAGAACCTGGCTCTGCCGATTTTGGCCGCCCATAGCTTTTCTTCTGGTTGTTTTGCGTTGACAAGCAGACACCTAAGTACAGAAAAAAAAACAATTAAATCAAACTCAGGAGATAATCACTCATATACAGGATCAACCAAGACCAAGATCATAGTCATAGACTATTTTATATCAATTAATCTCGGTACCTGGACTATAGGACTGCGTAGTGTTAGAGCTGCCAGGCTGGTGTCCTGTAGGGAACGCTAGAGGACTAGGACTCCTGGTGGGGCTGGCGGGAAGCGGCGACGGACTTGGAGTTCTAGCCAACGGTGACAACGGTATATGACCCACAGATTTCCTACGATTAGGCGAATGTATGTTCTTCGCCGCTGTGTGTAACTTATGCTTCAAACCGTGAAGAGTACTCGGCCGTTGATAGTGAGATTGATTAGATATTGTCGGTAGATTCGCTGCAGACGTTGTAGAACCCGGAGACGAAGAGTTTGGACTGGAACAAGGACTCGAGTTCCCTGTGGAGTGGTAAGACTCTGAGCTGACACGGTTCGTAGGCGGTGACGGACTGCAGACCGACTTTGTGCAGGCAGCAAAGTATGGCGATGTCTCTTGAGAACGCGTGAACGACTGGAAGGATCGACTGGGTGTTACCATTGACGGTGAGCAAATTCCTGCAGCCATCTGGAAGAAAGTCGAGCGATGTACTATTTCATTGATAGAGTGTACAGTTGTTCCAGAGAATGTAGCATCTAACTCTCTTCCTTTTAACAAGTTCAAATATATCTTGTGATAAGTGTATAGTGTAAAAACTTGACGTTGTCGCGGTCGATTGAAAGAAAAAAGAACATCTAAAAGCTGTCAATCACGTGATCGTGATCGGGCAAAATGAGTAGTCGATTAAAGAAAAGTATAGCAACTGAAACGATGTTAGCGAGAAAGTTCACAAAACGTTACGAAAAATCATACCATAAGTGGAGGTTTGCTGTCGCTGGATAGAATGGGTGCTGACAATGGACAACTGATAGTTAATGGCTGCAATAAAAAAAAAAGTAACACTTAACATAATAACGTGTGATGCGTAGTACAAGTTGCCGGTGCTTTAGTATTTATGCCACGTAGTAGTAGTAGTAGTAGTAGTAATAGTAGTAGTAGTCTCGTGTTGAAAGAAGATTAAAAGAAAGAAGAACAACATATAAATATACGTTTACAATTGAAGGCGCTTATGATGTGACTAAGGCCACGAAAAACATGTATCTTCACATTAATTCGTTTTGATTTGAAAAGGAAAAAAAGAAGTTACAGAAAGCGAAAAAAAAAAAGAAATTCACTTCTTCTATACCTGTTGCATCTCTACACTAGCTCGTTTCGAACTAATTCGTTTAAAAAGGGACGTTTTTCGTTTCTTATCGGAATGATCGCGCTTCTGCTTGCGCTGCTTGTGCAACGTTCTTCGCGCCATCTTGCTCTGGGCCAGATCTCTTCTTCGTCCGCCCGTTTTAATACTAGTATTCTCTAATGGTGTGCTACGCAATGTTACGTGATCACCACCGCTTAACATCAACTGGAGAACTTGTATATGATATAAACCCTGCACTGGCTCGCCGTTTATATGCGTTATGAGATCTCCTGGTCTTAGACCAGCTTCAAAAGCTGGACTGGATTGATCGACGGCCTGTATATGATTAAATAAATCTTAGTAGATCACGTATATTACACTGATTTTTTTTTGTTACTTATGCGTACCATAACTAGATGATGCATCGTGTAAAAATCACTGTCACCATAATAAACTCTAATAGTGTGCACAGTGAAACCGAATCCACACGGACCTCTTCGAATGATAATTGGAGGTTTTAAACTGGTTACAAGTGGACTCAGTTCGCGACAAGGGGACGTATCTCTCGAAGAAGCAGTGGACGATCCACCGGGAGATTCGATTGGCTGAGTATTTAATGACGCATCGTCTGAAAAATACAATGAACCTAATAAAAAAAAAAAGTAAAACCTCGAAATATGAAAAAAAAAAATTAATCGATATAGAATAATACATACAAGAGAAGTCACTAGTCGGTATAACCAATGACAATCCACTAGTGGATGCGGATTTAATCACAGACCGCGACTTCTGTTTCGCGGACGGTATAATTGGCATCGCGGTAAACGATTCGAAAGAATCTGTACTAGAATTATGCTTGCTTTCCTCAGCTGCATCTCTGTTCGCAGCGATGAGATCTAACCTGAAATTACATTTATCCATTAGTCACACTCGTATACATATAACCACTTATCCATCGTGCAACCAAAAAGTGATTGAGTTATATGCATGTTAAGGTAGCGAATTCGATGAAGAGTGGTGCATGACAACGATCGATATATAATGTTTGGGAGGATGTATGTCTGAATGACTCACATGTGTTCATCATCAATGCATATACTGAACCTGGGCAGCTTGTCACGGGAATGCACGTGCCGTTTTCTCTGGATCTGTGGACTGATATCCTCAGACTCCGTTTGTGAGGAATCGGGCGTACTCAAACTGATGGACGTTCCTTCTACTTGACTATTTTTAATAACCGTTAACTGTGACTCCCCGCTAGTCACCGTTGCAGGACTCGTGAACGACGTGTTTGACTTATCCAACTTTGGAGGTGTTTCGATGCTCGTGATACTTTTAATGGACGAAGAAGAACGATTCTTATCCGACGGAGTCGATTCTGCTAATTTGGATGGAGGCGTGATTGAGCTATTCGAGCCGAGAGACAATTGTGCGACTGTGCGTTCGAGCTCAGTCCGGAATAATTGTTTCTTCGAAGCATCTAACTCTGCCTGTTCGGGATTTATCTGCGGTGGACGGGTTTGAGATATCTTTCGTGACTGCGGGGAGTACGAAGAGAACGATCCAAATAAAGGGGAGTCATCGGTGTCGTCGGTATCATCGCCTATATCATGATTATATCTATCCATACGAGCTGAAATATTGATTATTTTGTTAAACGTTCCTTTATTAATAAGGAAAAATAGGAATTAAATTGTATATATTGTACGTACTATCGAAATAACTAGTATCCTCATCATTGACTAATTGCGGCACGAATTCAGCCTTTTGTCTCAATAAACTGTTCCAATTTACACCATAGAAATATGGATACTCTTTGACCTCGTGAGATCCACCAGTGCCTAGCCGATCCCTAGGACTTTGCTGTAACAACGCTGTTATAATATCTTTAGCCTCTGGCTGAACTGGCCAGTCGTCTTCGTCTGGCCACTCGATGTCATCTGCATAAATATTTGGTTATTTTTTACAATTTTTAAATATTTTTCGCATGGTTTATCTTGATATTTACCATTAACCGTATGAGCAAATAATTCTTCCGGAGTATCACCAAAAAATGGTACACAGCCAATTAGAAATTCGTACAGTATAATGCCCATGGACCACCAATCAACAGGTTTACCATATCCCTGACGTAATATTACCTCAGGAGCGATGTATTCAGGTGTACCGAATACTTGTTTGTCTGAAAATTGTCTCGTGTCCCTGTCGATATAACCCTCGTAAAGATTTGTCGCCACTAAAAGTAGAAGAAATTTCGTTTAGGAACTGCTCCTGTATGTGTCAAGAATATTAGTGTTCATGTCACTTACAGGACATTAGACCCATTTTACTGAGACCAAAGTCTGTGAGTTTAATGTGACCAAGGGCAGTAATAAGTAAACTGGAAAGAAGAGATATATGAGGATACTTGATAAATTAAAAAAAAGACGTTTTCTTTTTCACACATACTTGTCAGGCTTCAAATCTCGATGAACAATACCGTAGCTGTGCAAATACTCGACAGCTAAAACAGTTTCTGCGAAATAAAACCTTGCCATATCTGGCGGCAATGGACCAATATTTTTTAAAAGATTCGCACAATCTCCACCCTCCACGTATTCCATCACCAAGCATAAATGTTTCTACAATTGTAAGTGATTGTCAATAAATTTTATTCGAATTTTGCAAAATCCTCGGAGATAAAATATATACATACTTTTGTCTCAAAGCTGCAGTACATAGAAACTACAAATGGATTGTCTGTGAAGCTCATTATATCTCTTTCAGCGAATACTTGTTCTACTTGATTTCGCAGCATCAAATTGTTCTTATTTATCTTTTTCATAGCGAATCTCTGTCGCGTGGTTTTCTCTTTAACTAAATATACCGCGCCATATGCACCGTTGCTAATAAGTTTCAATACTTCGTAATCGCTTTCGCATGGAATGCGTTGAGACTTTTCTTCGTCCTTATTTGGACTTGAAGCAATTTGTAAGTTACTATCGCTCGAACTTGCCGAATCCTCTAACTTATTTAAATCCTCTTGTAACTCTAAAATGTAAAAGGTATATTTAAACTTACTTCCTTTATAGAATTTAAATGGAAGAAAAGAATAAAATTAGAAATGTTACCTGATATTGGATCTCTATTAAGAGAAAGCTTGGTAATAATGTACTGAGGTATATCTGTTTTTATTCCTGCATTAATTTTTGCCTGGCCTTCGGCCTGTTCAAGTAAATGATAAAATTCTTCTGGGTCGAATTCTAAACACTCCAAAAGACGAGCTGGTCGTGATATTACTAACAGTAGTTTCTTAATAAGCCCCGTTAATCTCGTTGCAGCTTCAAGTGATTTATCCTTTGTCTGTGAATAAAAATATTTATTCATTATCTCCACGTATATTTAATTTATTGTGTAGCTTTCTTTTTATAACATTACCTCCATTAACAAATGTTCTAAATTTTCACTCATTTCATAAAAATATCTAGTTGTGATTAATTTTTCCTGAGATTTTTGCAAACAATCTCTTGCCATTTCAATTACTTGGTGATGCACGAACCGTAAAATCGGTAGAGAATCCTGAGTCATATTTGCCATTACTTCGTACTCGTCAAGCTCCTTATTTTCATGGATAAAATTGGTTAAACGTTCCTCCATTTGCTGCGTTGCCTGATGAACAAATTTTTTCGTAAAATGACGTTATTGCAGCATCACGAATATCCAAACAACTTTTGTTTAATTTTGTACCTTTGGAAATCGTTCTTTATAAAGAGTATTCATCATAACAATTTCACTGTCCAGTACGGGAGATCGACTTGGACTACTACAATTTGAGTAAACATATACAATTGAGTAAACGTAAATGTTACGAACAATAAGATAGGAATAATGTCAACTGCATTTACCTTAAACTTCGTGAACGAGGTCTATGTAATGGCGACCTACGACCCTCCTCGTCAAGGCTGAGGGACACGCTGCCTGGAATACTAGAAATACTAGAACCTGGGAAGCCTGGATGCGAAGAACACGGAGTGCCAGGCTTAGAGAAATGACAAGAAAGCATACGCAATTCGTCCTTGGTTGGAACATTTGGAAGCTGATGTAGGCGTTCCTGACTTGAGTGTTGTGACTAATTAAGTAAATTTTTAAATGAACTGTCAGTCATCATAGATGCCTCTATGCACCGATTTCTTAATGTTATAACTAACCGAGACATTGCTGGATCCTGGCGTTGTTCCATACCCACTAGATGGTAAGCTAGCAACTGACCATCTTCTGCCATCTCCAGTTCCTGTGGCACCTCCACCAATCCTTAAATATTATGTACATTTTAATACAAATTAGTAGCTTTATAATGGATAATATATGCTATTCAATAAGTCTAATATATGTAAAGAGCAATCACTGGAATAGTAGAAGATCTTACAGCCATGTGCTACGTTTTTTATAAAAGATTAGCTTCTGCATCAGCAGTTGTTTTGTTTACTATTAATAATGAATTAAAAATATAATGCTCACAATGGCGACACCTACTTACATACATAACCAGACCAGATTTAAACACACTAAAAGTAGGTATGAAATAGATACCTTTTAATTGGAGCAAAAGCAAAATGTGGACTGGATGACATCCTAGGACTCTCTAGGGGACTGCCTACAATCGGGACGAACGCTATATCGGGAAACAGCAGTAAAAGAAATTAATTTTCTATAATCGAAATGTATAAACAATATAAAATACACGCCTCTAAGTGAATAGAAAATAAGTTTTTTTTAAGGACATTGAGGACAAGAGTTAAAATTTCTAAATCTAACACATTTGAAAACAAAGTTGTTGCATATAAATTGCAAATTGCAATAGCTGCATCACTATATTTTAAACATGGATACATATATATTTATATATATAATGTGCACATATGCATATACATACACACATATATATTTAAAAATCTTTGATAAAGGTGTGCCAGAATGCTTATATAATATTTTCATATAATACATAGCACTTGTAAGTAGTCTGTACACAAATAATATATAAAGTATCATTTAAAAATCATTCAAAGAACAAAGAACAATTAAAAATATCAAGGTTTAGGTATATACCTGACAATGGTGAATGGCAACGTGGTAAAGTTGGAGATGTTGTTGCAATAAAAGATTTACGATGAGCTGCTTTAGCAGCACGCCGAGGAATGTTAAAATCACGCTGAAAAAAAGATAATACACATGCTGTAACTTTACATAGTGATAATAAAATCCTATAATAGGAATATATGCATATATTTTCACTAACCACATGAACAGATAAAGAAGGTGCAGACTTCCCAATTGCAGAATTCCTCATTCGAACCAGATTTGACAGTTCTCCACTAACTGAAAATATTAGTTAATTAAAAAATATGAAAAGATAGACAATTAGGTAGATAAAATAATGTGAAACTTTATTAACCAGGCCGAACTGGAGCTTCCTTGCTTTCCATTCTGGATGGAATTGGTCGTTTTTGCACTTCTGTCTCAGTACTGCAAGTGGACTCTTCGCTTTCAGTTTGATCAAACACAAGTACTCTGGCAGAATTGCCATGAGAACGAAGACGTGGTCTACTAGGTCTATTCCTATTCTGATCCATGTTTCCTTTATTATTTTTTCCCTTCACTGATTTAAATTATCTAAAATTGAATCCATTTATTAAGCACCTTGTATTAAAACAATGTGAAAGAACTTTCAAAGAGAAAATATAAGTATGAGTAATAAGTGTGTACCTGATTCAACCCGTTTTATTCACAGGAAGGAAAACAAAACAAAAGGTAAGTCCGATCAATGAGACCGTCGAAAAATTCACAATCCATTCTTCCCGTGAAAGTTCGATCGACGTCGAGACTGACAGTTTAAAATCGGCCGTACGCACGGATTGGAGAGCATTCGTACTCGCACCTTGCTGGCTCAAAATGCCGTCTCGGACGCAATCCTTTTTCTATGCTGCCGCTGCATGAAAATTCATAACATATAAGAGGACAGGAAATAAGTCGCGGACCTGTCGATTGAAAAAGGAACTGTAGGCGGTTCGAGGAACCGTGGCAAAGGATGCGTTTCAATAATAAGATGTGTACCTGTAGTTGAAAAACAGAGAGAAAAGAAAGAGAGAGTGAGAGAGAGACGAGAAGTCCTGCGAAAGAAGAGAACCGGGATACAGAGAAAAGGTTCGACGAAAAGAAACAAGAGAAGAAAACACACAACACACTAGGCGCACATAATGGATACGAACTGAGCGGGAGGAAGATAAAAGGTGCGCGATTTACCGGGCACAACGGGCATGTCCTCTGAGGGGACAAGCGGCCCGGGAGCGAGCAGGTGCCGTAGTCCCGGGTTTAGGCTCGCATTTTTCTCGTCACCGCAGAAATTAATTACGAAACGCGGACCGACCATGGGTTCTGACTCATGATGGACGTACACACACAAACATACACATATACGCGCGTGCATCTACACACGAACGCACGCGCAAACGCCCGTGCATGAAAACTCGGCACAAATGCACGCATCCTTGGCCGCGAGCTGCACCGAGAATCAACACCGAAAACCCTTTATAGCAGAGTACAACTACGTGCTCTCTGCTTATGTTCACCGTATTGGTATTGCTAGAAATCTCCACGCCATTGTTATATTCAATAATTCAATCGAACCTTTCTAATTTAAACTTCAATGGATTTCCTTCCGACCGATTGATCTTCGAGAGAGAGAGAGAGATTATAACACACCTTTACGTTAAGTTTCATTTACGATCGAGTTTAATGTTAACCGAGAATCTTTACTTCAACCAGTCAACCCTTCAACGTGTTTGTTCAATTTTTCTGTCGCGTCTGAAACACGAAACACTCGCTTTTCGTATGATGATCATTTGAAACGAAAGAGTTTTATAAATGAGAACGGGTTTAGTCGTTTACGTGTTAAACATTATAAATGCGTTTATACGGGTTAATGGAAAAATGATGTATTGTTATTTCAAGGAATCGTTTGAAGATTGAAATCACACTATCCATATTTATCATGATTACAATTTCGGAAATTTGTCATTTGGATGAGATTTACAAGATTCTAAATATATTGTGAATTGCATACGAAGAAATGAGAAAATTACCGAAAATAAAATGGCTATTTATAAATGAATATTGTTGATGTAAGGTTAATTTGGGTGTAATAAAAGTTGTATGTCAATAGAATTGACACCATCCTCAATCTACTATTAATCGATCTTGAACTAGAATCGATTATAGCCTTGTGACATATCTTTAACAATACCTATATATGTATGTTGGTACGAATTGTCAACAATGTTACGTAGCTTTTAAGTGTACATTTTTATAAACTATTATATTTTAAAATAAATTTGAAAATAATAGAGAACATCCACTTTTCTCTTCTTCCTTTCTTTTTTTTTAAATGCAATGTCACAAGAATCTAAAAATATCCACTGTCCACGACTACGCGATGAAAAGCAAGGCGGCCTTTTTTGACACATATCAGCTGATGTATCAACACACTCAAACCATTATAAAAAACATTCGTCATCCATTCGTATACTCGATTTATGTTTTTTTTCTCTAGAAATACTGTATATTATTCTTTTATTCCCTTAACATATGCGAGTAACGTATATTAAATCACGGTGTTCTCTTTCTCCTTTTCCCTCTGTAATTTCTTTTTTCATTTGTTCACCGTCAACTAAATACATATGATCTAACCTCGCAATACTACATTCAAGATAATTATTACGTGCGAAAAGTTTTACATACAATTTCGCGGGTATCTTCCAAGGATTATACTGCTATAATGCGTCTAACTGTATAAATATACGTACTATATACAATTATGTACTCCAAATACTCTCAATTGATAACCAGTAGAACTCTAATTTGTACAAGAAAGAGTCTTCTGTGCAGAACTGTACCTGAATCATTTCCTTTTCAATGTAAAAGATCTGAAAGAAAATGGCAATGCTTAAAGCTGCAAACAGCCTGTTTCCATACAACTCAAAAACTACATTCTCCTGGATTAATAATTCTTTGTCTTGGCTCTATTTTATGTGGCCGTTTTATAAGGAAACGATGGATGACTATGTCTCCAATAAAACAAGAAATGTTTATAAGATGGTATATGCAAAGAAGACGTATTATCAATGGTAGATTACATACAATCAATCAGTATTTAAAATAGTGCAAAGAATATTTTTTATATGTATTTTCAGGTTGCTTGATGGGTCTATCTATTGCCTTACCTATTTATTGTTTGACATGTTTCAAAAGAGATCCCGTAGTGAAAGCTCCACGTTTTATATTAATTGATGGAGCTAAACGAATTACATATTCTAAATTTGTGTATTCAGTATGTATTTTTAAAAAAATATGTGACATGGCATTACTTTACATAATCATAAATTTCTACAGTTGATAGTAAGGAATAAAGAAAATGTGGTACCATTCAGAAATCCAATGTATACAAGAGTTACTAGAGTACTAAACAATTTGGCACGTGCAAATAAAGAAATATTTAAGGACTCTACTCCTTGGAATGTCACCATAATTTATCGTATATTTAATGAAATATCAGCTCCCAATGTCTTAATTTTACCAGTATGTAGATTATTATTTTATATATGAAAATCAGGCACTCTATTATTAATGTTTTAGGACAGGAGTATTATTGTTCTTGCTGATATTTTTAAGTTTATCAAAAATGATGATCAGCTGACAATTATTTTAGCCCATGAAATGGCACATGAAATACTCTATCATGTAGTGAGTATGATGATATTGTGCATAATATAGTTGCACTTTAAACACTTTTCACATAAGAAGACTTAAATAATCATAATATAATTGTTCTCAGGCACAAACGTTATCTATAGGACTATTAAGGGTCTATTTAACTGTTATACCAACATTGTTTATTTGGATATTTTACCCCACAAGGGTAGCAATAAGGCTTTCTTTATTTCTGTATATACTTACTTCACTTATTTTCTCTTGGTTTAAAAGAAGTTGTGAAAGGGAGGCAGATGAAATTGGACTTCAATTAGCTGCAAAAGTATATAATCTTTATGTTCATGTATCTTTAGGTTTCATTAGTACACCAATTATGAAAATGTGTTTTGCATTTTCAGACTTGTGTTGATCCGAGAGAGGCTCTAGTATTATGGGAGATAATGAAGACATATGAAGATCTCATTGGATCTTCAAAATTTCAACTATCACTTTTTATGGATCATCCCAGTTTCGAAGAACGGCTATTGAGAACCATCGAACTACTGCCTAAGTACAACAATTTAAGGAACCAAGCTGAGGTACTTATAATTCCTGTTCATCTCCTAGAAGTATATCAAGTATTACGCGAGAAATGCATTTCAGTGTCCTGAATTACCAATACGTGATCCACGAGATCGTCTGCCGCAGTACAAGAAAGAAATCGAAAGGAAATTTCGAAAAAATCCAAGATTTTAAGCGAGCGGAAATAAATGGATAAACCTTTTTTTTTTTTACAGCTTTGTAATATGACACTGAGCTTGATGGTATAAATGATTCATTAGTCACACTTAAATAGTACTATGATGATACATTTCTCAGTGATTACCTTATCGTTTGCCTTCCTGCCGCGGTGTAAAAATTTGTGATAGTTTTTCTCTGTGAACCAGCGTCAAGTTCGAACTCGCTACTAATTGTAGTGTTTGCAACATGTTCGTTACAGGAATATTTCTTCTGCTCGTTGAAACAACGTGTGGATATAATATAGATATAAATTTTCCAATTGTTTATTCCCGTGAAGATGCGCTGAAAAACAACAACGCTTACTTCGGCTACACTGTGCTATTGCACCGTGAACCGTTTCAGGATAGATCATGGTAACGTTCATTATTCATTATACATCAAATAAAATGATTTTCTTAGATCATAATTGATCTTGTGTAATCGTAATCGCGTAAGGTTACTAGTATTAACAGCGACAAATGTGAAAAAATTGTACCTCTTTATTTGGGTATAAAACCGTACATAAACCAGATCAAATTGAACATATCTATAAAAATGCAACACGGTTGGTTTGGAAGCGCAATGTCTGTGACCAACGATTCCTTATTGGTAGTAAGCATTAAACATTGAAAATTGATCTTTTCGCTAAACGCGACAGGATTTTTAGTAACATTAATACCAGGTGTGTGCGCCACGAACAATTGTGACCATATTGGATCCTATCTGGAATGATAATTTCGACACCATGCAGGGAGTATGTTACCTTGGAAAGATTACTTGGAATGAACTACTTATGGACGATGATTTTTCGTATCACGGTACATAATTAATGGAACTACTTAATTGAAAGTATGATTGATACTCTGAATAACTGTTTCATTTAAATCGATCAGATTTTAAATCGCCATTCTGGTATAATCCTTTGCACGGCTTTTCCGTACAGTTCTCTGCAAAAAGGGTGAGTAGACCATGTTCTTCCACGGTAGTATATGTTTCATTATCGAACGAGTAATGTATAATATCATCTAGCGAACGAGAAACAATAAAAACGAGAAGAGTTATTTGTTGCTCATGGGAGACCCGAAACGCGAGAATTACGGTACCGTGGAAATAATGACACTATCCAACACTACCGTACGGTCCATAGCTGTGGAATTTCCCTTAAGTGACGATACAGCTCAGTTTGGTACGTATTCATTAATAAATTAACAGGCTTAGTTTTATTTTTACTATGTGATAATGTGTTTACAGGTTACAGCGTTGATTTTGGTTATTTCTTCAAAAGGGACCAATTACTTTATGTCAGTGGTGCACCAGGTTGGCGTTACGTAGGCCTGGTAATGAATAATATTTTCCAAATATACGTGAAATTTAAATGGGAGATTTTGTATAAAATAAATTAACATTTTTATAGGTGGGAATAATCAATCTAGAATCGAATGTATCTGTTATTGCGCAGCTTCATGGTACCGACATTGGTGAATATTTTGGAGCGAGTTTAGCCGTTGGAGACTTAAATAACGACGGTTTAGATGATCTCTTAGTTGGAGCTCCCTACTGGGGAGAAGACAATGGCAAAGTTTACGCATATTTTGGCACATCCAAGGTGTGGAAAATAATTAGAATATAAAGTGGTTAAGCCTTTGCTGTAATACACCATAGTGCAACCCTTGAGGAAAATGTATTTTACATCTTTTTGTAGGGTCAATTTGAAATAGCAGTGACTTTGAAAGGGATCGCAGATGGCGGACATTTTGGGTACACCATAGCTTGCGGTGATTTGGATGCCGATGGATTCGATGGTAATTCAAATCTACTTACAACAGATGTTTTAGATTTTTTATAGAATTTATTTGCTTATTGAAATAGATATAATTGTGGGAGCGCCTTGGGAAGAAAGTGGTGTGATTTATATATACAACGGAGATTCAGATTTAAAGAATACGAATTTACAAGTGTCGCAACGAATCGAAGGTGCAAAATTACCACAATTGAATTTTCCGTTAAAAATACAAAGATTTGGTTTTTCGTTATCGAAACCAGTCGATATTGATGGAAACGGGTTAGTGAAACTCGTCTTATAACGATACCGTTTTCATAAGACATAAATAATTAATAGTCCGTGTCTAGGTATCAGGATATTGCAGTTGGAGCATATAAGTCAGAACACGCTGTAATACTACGCAGTAAGCCAGTAGTAAAAACGGAACTCGTTATTCAGACTGTACCTAATATTTTGCAAAGAGATGCTAGACAATTCCTGATCCAGATATGTCTAAAATACACTAGCCACAACACGCAAAGTACACAAAGTAAGTAACACAAATTTCTATATGAAATTCTATTTATTTATATTTCTCATTTATTATCATTTATTTCTCTGTACAGATTTTAAGATTACAGTCACTATAGATGAACGATACCAACGAACCATAGAAAAAATTTTGGAGTTGAAATCCTTTAACTTAACATCAAACAAATGTTTATCTGTTCCAATTAATATTTCGACGAACATACGAGATTTTATTCAGCCAATTAGTATTTTTGCAAAACACGATTTTATATACGATAACACACCCAGCGAATTTTGCAAATTCTGTCCTATAGAAAGGAGAAACAACAAATTACAAATTGCTCAAGCCCTTCTTCCTTTCAAGATCGATTGCGGGGAAGACAGAATCTGTAACTCCTCTATATCCGCTACCGCGACATTTCACAATGTACGGTATGGCAATGTATGGGTTATCGGTTCAACTGATATAAGTTTAGAAATTAATTTAAAAAACCATGGTGAACCTGCGTATCTTACTACACTTGAGTTCACGTTTCCTAAGGGAGTAGTATTACGTAGTATTTTAACTTCTTGTCAAGAAGACACTTCCAAAGAGAATCTGCTAATTATCTGTGATATGGGCAACCTCATTTTGAATGGGGAAGAGAAAAATATTAAATTAGATTTGGATATGAGACGCTTGATAAATGGTTCATTATACGATCGTGAATTAGATTTTTATGTAGCGATAAAAACTCACAGTATAAATCGTGGAACAACGTATATAGTTAAAACGCTTAATTTAGTAAGCGAGGTTTCCGCAACTTTACACGGTAAAGCAAAAGAGGAAGCTTATTATTTTACTGCTTTAGACGAAGGTGCTTCAAATATAAGTTTCCAACATACTTACCAGGTGTATAAACTTGGTCCATCACCACTAGAAAATGCACAGCTCATTGTCAAAGTGCCATTTGCTATTAAAGATTCAAAAACCTTGGTACACATATATGAATCTCAGGTAAGAAATTCCGACTTAATATATAATTTTGTAAATATAAATCATTGAATAACTATATTTTTAGCTGTACACGTCGGGAGAAATTGTTGAATGTTCCTCAGAGAACATTTTGTTAGATACTCAATTAGTCAAGGTACAAGGTGAACCATCCTCAGACCAATCTAATATGACCCTGTTCTCTAATATAAAATTACAAACTGGAGCTCGTGCGATTGAAAAAAGAAGTTTAGAAAAATCCGTTCCACTGTTATATGATGGGAAAAATAATAAAACTCCACAATCTCTAAATGAGAGTTGGTCCAATAATATTATTTATATGAATTGTTCAACCCCCGATGTGAATTGCGCGACCATCACGTGCGATTTGAATGCATTAAAAACATTACAAAATATTGGAAAGATGGAAATTAAGCTTCTTTTAAATGTTGATAAATTTAAAGGTAATTGTTTGCACAGCTTATCTGTATATTGTAACTTGTGAATAAATCTAATTAATCCACATTTCCTTTAATACATTAAGATAACTTTAAAAACAATAAAGCCGTCCTCAAATTCAGCACAGAAGCGAGCGTAGAAATAATAGAACCTGCTGTGAGAATACATATTAACGGAACTCGGTAAACTCTTATATTTCAAACGTGTGCTTATTGAATACATTTAAATATGACTTAAAATAATTTGTAAGTTACATTGTAGATCTAAAATGGAAATTGCAACAATGTTTTACAATTCTCCAAAAGTAGAAGAGCTGCAGTTATGGATTATTCTTATCTCTGTATTAGTAGGATTATTGTTCTTGCTCATTTTTGCCGCAATTTTAAGCAAAGTAAGATTCTTTTATTTTACGAAAAGTAACATGTCTTATTTATTGTTAATATTCTTTTCAGTTGGGTTTCTTTAAACGAAAAAGTAAACAAAATTTAACAGTTGCAGAAGTAAGTACCATGAAATAAGCGCTTTATAACATTCTGTAATATCAATTTAAAAATAGAATTTAATTAATATCTCGTTGTTTAATTAACATCATGAAACTGCGCATGCGGTTGAATGTATCTAAAAATGATACGTATTTAGCGGTGCGAAAAGTGCTTAAAAGATATGTATTTCGTGAAAAACCATTTATATTTAATAAACTTCTAATTTTTATTTACATTGTATTTAATGTCTCCGATGTAAAACGCCCATTTATGTATACAAATGTTTAATTTTATTAATTATACGTCGTGTATTTACAGTTCATATATCGTATTCAACCATAACAATATGATGAGAACATATAATGGAAAAACATATCTTAAACATATAGATCTATCAATGCAGACATATTTACATCTATTTCTTAATTAAAAACAAGAAAATGTTTGCTATAGTTGTCATTTTCCGTTATTACAGTACACTGAAAGATCGATAACAGGGTTTCGAGAAAACTTTACTGAACGCAACAATAGTCAAACAAGTTTTTCGTTCTTTTTCATGATATTCGTTTTGTACAATGTATGGAAAAAGATCGATAGCATGTTAGTACATAATTACAAATATGTTGTTTATCGTCTTTTTTTTTGGAGAAATTTGACGTTACTGCTAAAAACACTGTTGTTCTAGAAGTTTACTAAAATCTGTACAGGATGTGAGCATAAATTATTTTCTCGATTGTACATCGAATATTCCCATTTTTTTTTTTTTTTATAGAATTGAAAAGGCAATCTTCTGCATTAAAGCGTTATCGTTTCAAATAAATGATCCATACGTAACACATACATCATGTCACTCTCTAGGTTTCATTCGTTTAGACCAGTTTCGTCTGACAGTGTCATTTAATGTGTCTTCACAAAGAGAGACACAAAATGGAAGCACAGCTGTTGCTTTTGTCTAATTCGACATCAGCACCGCACAAAAATTCTTGTGGGTTTAATCCGCAGGAGCAATTGATACGCTCGAGTGAAATTCGTCCCCTTCCATGTTAATGTTGGTACTTAACATTATACGGATAACATGTGACTGTCGTAGCACACTTTGTCGCATATGGACAGGCTTCGACAATGGAGGTGATCAAACTCTCCAAGTTTGTCTTCAGTGCACATCCGTTTGTTAGGCTTCCAACTTATCCATTAGGATTGTTGTTATGAGTATAGGTATTCTTCTTGTCGTAAAGAAATCATGACGATTCGATCGTTTCCAAAAATAAACTATTGAACAGTTTACAGATTACGTGGGTTAATTGTTTTTCTTCCCTTGGTTATACATACGTAGTGCATATGGGTTTATATTGTTCTGTTAGATGCACGTTCTTTATGGACACGAATAAATAATGTATGCTCACATGCTGTAGCTAACCTTTGAATTTATTCAATTAACCGAAACGATGCAAAAATGATCGCAAAGGATAACAATACATTCATGCGTACAATTTTCTCGAGTACCTTAACGCGGAACGCTAACATGGTATTTCAATTTATGTGGAATTATTGAAATATTTCAAGCTGGCTGACTCGTCTCTTGCTTTTATTTATTTTTTCTTTTTCCTTAAACAATGTTACTTTTCTTGGCCATAGTAATATTTTATCACAATAATTTTAATTTCGACTTTGTTAAAAAAATTTAGCGCTATGGACATTTTTTAAATATTTTTTTTAGTATTAAAAAAATTATGTAATAGGTTAGTAATAAATACGATCAACCAGCATAACGTGAAGTGATGTCAGACACGATCTTTTACGTTCTACATTCCAACTTCACAAAATTTCATGTAAAGTAGATTGTATTGAATACATAATGATGGTTATTTTCACATGAGGCGACACGAAGAAAAGTTATGAAAAATGAGCACAATCATTCTGTTTCCTCTAACAAGTTTTCAATAATCTAAGCTATTTATTTTAAATCATTAGTTCGGAACTTTGCAGACATTCTACAAAGAATCGAATGTATCATATGTGAATTACTTGAATCACGATGTAAAATAAACATCATTATGTATGTACGAAGTATAGTTGAACTGGCAGCATATAAAATCTAAATGTAAATTATATTTCCAATATAGAACTTAATGTGTTTGATTTTTGCATTTTAGTACAAAAGAGAGAGAGAGAGAAGTATTTGAAGTTATGTTTACTATGAATAATCACGTAAATTAAATCACGTAAGTGTCAATATCTATCATTCAATGACATTCACCCGCAACTAACATGAAAGTTTAGACAAACAAAAACGAAAGTTAAAATTAATCGTATCGCGCTAGTGATATTTTTCTAACCTAGAACTCACCACTAAATCCCAACCTCATTCTTTGCGTACATCGCAATCTGAATACGACTACCGCTTGCAAAATGTAAATCATCTTGTTTCTCTTAGCGATAAAAAAATATTACTTAAACAACGCAAAAAGAAGATTATTGTAAACTGATATACCCTGTGGTAAAGATGGTAAATTTTCACTTTATATGCTACAACAATCTTCCTTTTGCTTGTTATAGATTAATTTTGTAAATTGCAAGCAGTGGTTTAGATGATGAAGAAAACTAATGAAAAAATATATTTATCTAACTATGCAAGATGCAATTAACGACTACTCCTTAAAATTAAATTCGCTCGATGAAAGGAAATGTAAGTAGTCAATATCCAAAATCCACGTCTTCGCATTCAGATTGGGATGCAAAAGTATCACGTATTGTATAGACACATGCAGCAAAAATGAATAGTGAGAAATAGTATTAAAATTTTTCTGAATCTTACTTTTTTCCCGCATATTTTACTATTTGTTAAATGCCTCCGGAGGTATTTGTCCTCGCTTGTAGAATTCTTGAAACGCCAAGAGCGCATTGTCGTAATTCCATAACACTTCTTCCAAGCACTTCAAACTCCATTCCAGATTCATATTTGTTTGTTGACTGAGCGTCAATGTCATCTGTTGTTTCACGTCTTCAGGTAACGGAGCCGGCAATGGTTTCGCTGTATTACTACTGGAAGGAGTCTGTGATATTGGATTCGACGTCATTTGTCCTTCTGGTTGAGTGTTCAGTTGTTTTAACTGCGCGTCTGTTGGTTGATTGATATGTAATTGCTCGTTTCGAATGCAGTAACCACTTCCTTCTGGTACTATTATGAATGTTCGATTGAAATAACGAATAAACTGCTCCTTTTTATCGAGCTCTTTGAACAGTCCTGTGACTGTGATTAACATCATTCCTTGCTAAAGATGTATAGTACCATAGTTAAAATAGCGAATGAATTATAAATTGTGTTTGAATTAGAAATATAATAAGATCTTACCGTAACCAGACTGATATCCATCGTGAATGTGTTTAGATAGTGAGAGGTTTGTGGCATTTCAGAAATAAATGAAACTACGGGCAAACGTCCCTGTTTCAGTAACTTGTGCCTCTTGTTTGTATCATTTACTCGGTACAAGTTTCGGTTTTCTATTAGGTATCTATTTAATCTGCAATATTCCATTTGTTAGTAACATGTAACGTTAGCATTTATTCCTGAATTAATCTGTATATATCAACGTACTTGTTAGAATTATGAGAGTAGGATACGGTCATGCTAAAACATGCGTGTTCGTCGTACGCATCTAATAATGGTTGACGATTCTCACTATCGAATATGAGAAAGTATTGTTGCAGAAATTGACTGGCAATTTCTTGTGCTTTTGAGTTCGCAACGAACATCCTCTGGGAAAGTGGCATTTTATTTCCTTCGTCCACTACGTCGAACAAAATTGGTTTTGGGAGTTCCATACCATCCTTGTAAAATGGTAAAAGTGGTTATACTTAATTTTACAAAGTATAATTGTCGATAATATGACAATTGACAATTACTTACCAGTCGTAAGAGTTTGGGAAACCGTTTCCGCACGTCACTATGGTCGGGAAAGAAAAGCCAGAAGCCCGGAAGCTCCAAGTTAATTGTAATAACAGAAATATTTGCCTTATTATTGAAAAGAATAATAGAAAAGAAAATGTACAGATTATTTAGAACTTTCATAAGATATTAAAAAGTAAGAAAGTTCCATTTAATCTGTCTACATGTAGACAAATTAATAAATTGATATTTTATTAGAACATAATGCATTAGTTATTGGCATAAGAGGAGTGGCTGTAAACTTTATCGACTTAACCCAGGCCTGAAGAATTCCATCATCATGAAAACGCAGATCATATTGAAACAATACGTTACCTAATGTAGTCATTTTGACGGGTTTTATACTTGTTGCAAACGGGGTTCCCTGCCAGTTTAAGTTCCTCCAGCTTCAAGTCTTTGATCATATCTATCTGATATATATCTTTTATCTATAACATATTAATTGCACATTGGATTATACGACATTACAATATAAACGATAAAATAACATTTTATCTTAAATTAATCACCTTATTATCTCCAATGTAGAGTATTTTTAATTTTTTAAATTTTTTACTTAAAACGTTTAATTTTTCAAGTATTTGCAACTTGTTTCCATCCAAATTTAGTGCTTCCAAATCTGGTATGTGTTCCGCTACGATATCTAACACTGCCTTTAACATTAAGGGTCGGAATAATGCACAGAAATAATCGTGAACAAGATCTAAAATTAAGAAAATTACATTAGCACATTTTACAATAAAAGTCACTTTTAAAAAGTTACTTCAAATGCTACTAACCAGGATCTGTATGAAATCTTGACAAATCTAATGCATTTGTTTCTTGTACTCACTTGCATTTTGTAGCCATCAGTAGTTGTAATCTTACGATCACAGTTATGTAGTGCAATTGCTATTTTGTAATCATCTACATAAAAATTGGCTTCATTTCCAACTACCATGTACTGAAAACAAAGTTTAACAAAGAATTAAAATTTGTACAATGTTTTTAGACACATAATGCATTTAAGATATTTCATTTTTACCATTATTGGAACAAATATTTCTGGTGCAATATAACTATGGAGATTAGTTATTACATACTCTTTTTCGTATCTATGTCCATAAGGTATCTGTAATCAAAGACAATGTCTGTAATAAATATCGAATCAAACCAATCAAAAGAAATGTACAATATTAATTACTTACAGTAATTTTATACCAATTTGCCTCAATAGGAAGTTTATGCCAATTTATACCAAGTTGCCTCATTCTAGGAGCAGGTCCGCTTCTAAACCTTCTGTGAGGTACAGGACTGTTCCTTCCACGTTGCATGCCCCTGTCCCTTCCTCTGATAATAACTTGTCTATTATTGTTATTAGAACTTGTTGCCATTTGAACATCTTCATCTAAACATGCTAATGCCAACCCTCTAGGCTCATCCCTTGTTGGTCTTGCTTGTGTTTTGAATGATACTCTAGGCCTACTTCCAAGATATGAACCTCCATCATTTCTAGGTACACGATCATCATGACCTGCATCGAACATATAAATTAAGAAAACTATAATTGACTTCACTTACACTTCTTGTAAAGAAAATATTAAGCTTAACTATAAAATAAAAGAGAACGAGAAAGTAGACCATAACAAGTGAACAATTAAGAGTAAAGAATATACCAAAATAGTGTTTATCGTCTAAGTTTCCGGATCTTCCACCCCGACTGCTCCATGCAGATTTATTCGGTTTTCTTGGCATCTTCTTTAAGTTACACAACTGATGATCATAAATAAATCGCAATAACCATTGCAAATTTTTACAGGTTAGAAAAGAATGACCTTTTTACGCACGTAGGCAAATTACATTTATTATACCTATCTGACAGCAATGGAATCGTGTTAACAATCGTGACGCGTCAATATTCTTTTCTTCGTCGATTCTTTTAACGAAACACAAATACTACGTTTCATAAAATACAAAAACTCTCCTCCTACTTAAAAAGCGAGGAGAAGATGGCGTGTCAGCCAGAGAAAACGCTTTTATTCTTTTCCGACAGGTGATAGAAGGCGAGCAAAAGCGAGCAATTCTTGAAATCGGAAACACTATACGTATTTTTTCAAATCGTCATTGCGTATTACGATAGAGAAATAGTTTTATTAATTAGTGTGCAATAACTTTCATTGCATAGAAAATAGGAAAGCATCATAATTAACTTTACTTCAATTTATCATTATTTAATTCACATTTTCTGCGCAAATCATAACTACCTTAGGTTGGTACTAATATAGTAAGAAATGAAGGAGAAATGTTGTTGGTAGTACTGAATAGTGTTTCCACATGGTTGCAGTGTTTTGGAATGAAAGATTCGATTTTTGATGTACTGTTTTATTTTTGTTGATAAGAATAATAAAGTATTAAATATTTAAGAAAAATGGTAAATACTACACCGTACATAACATTACGTTTTATTTATAGAAAAAGTAATGCTTACTTTGTAGGTTATGTTTTCGATATTCGATATTGTCATTATTTTACTGAATTTGAATGACACGACTTAATATAATTTTTTATTTATTCGTAATGTACAGGGAAAAAATAAAAGAACGCGAAGAGTTGTTATGCAGAAGTTTGCACAAATGAAGAAAATGATAAGGTTGACTGATACAAGAATGTAAGTCATTCTTTAACCATTAAATATTCTCATTTTTATAAAAAGAATCATTTTTACGTATAAACGATTTATAAATGTTAGTTTGCTATTTCTAGAAAACCAGAACAACGTTTACCATCGAAAAAAGGTAAAAAAGAAAGTCAAGCTGAGTTTAAAATAACAGAAGCGTAAGTATTTTTGTGTATAATCCAATACTTTCAAATAAAGACTTGAAAATATATTGGATTATATTATTACAGGCCTCAGCAGTCCTCTGCATTGTTCTTTCAATATAATACACAATTGGGACCACCTTACCATGTCTTGATAGATACAAACTTTGTTAATTTCTCAATTAAGAATAAGTTGGACATCATAGAAAACATGATGGAATGTCTATATGCAAAATGCATTCCTTATATAACAGACTGTGTAGTGGGTGAATTAGAGAAGCTGGGTCAGAAGTATAAGATAGCTTTAAAGATAATAAAAGACCCTAGGTTTGAAAGATTACACTGCCTGCATAAAGGCACATATGCTGATGACTGTCTTGTTAATAGGGTGACTCAAGTAAGTATAAATGTCGTTAAAGTTCAACTCTAATATAATTAAATATACCTTCCTATGTTTCAGCATAAATGCTATATAGTTGCGACCAATGACAAAGATCTAAAAAGGAGAATACGAAAAATCCCGGGCGTGCCTATAATGTACGTTGCTCAGCATAGGTATACCATAGAAAGAATGCCGGACGCGTACGGAGCCCCCAAAAAATAATCACAACCCTTAGTATTATAATTTTTTTATTGTATAAATCCATGTAATAAAATACGTATTTTATTAACAACCTTTCCAACAAGTATAAAACACTGTTTCACGTTGAACGACTGTAGAAATCTTACGAGACAGCGAAATAGCTTTTTTTTCTCTCTCCTGAAATACAATTCAGAAGCGACAGACAATCGATACGTTTTCCGCGTACGTCCAACCGTTGAAGATAAACAGGGGAGAATGTGTTACAGTTATTGTTCGGTGAAACAATGAAGCTGTTGCGTGTAACGCCCACGTGGCCACGCTGCAGCCAGATAGAATTTTACTGTTTTGCGAATGATGCTGCCCCGTATATGGTCGCAACGTGAAATAACGTTAGACAAGTGGGCGCAAAAGGCCATTTCAAGTGAGTAACGATCCCCCTGCGAATTTATTACGACTGCAACCCTGCAAAATAAGCTGTTAAGAAGTCGCTGTCACGATCCTTTTCGCACGCGGCTAAGATACCGTGGCTGAATAAAGACCGTGTTGGCGATCGTACGCTTACCTATAGTCTAGGGTGCCCGCGATCGATTCCCGGCTGCTCACGAGGGTGAATCAAATGGACGTAGAAACTGATGTGCTCGTAAATTGCTTTAAGATATTGTACGAGAGGTAGGTAAGAATTATGAACGGTACTGTTTTAAAACTCCGATATTATTATTTCTGTGTGTCGTTTTTGCTGGTTAATCGATCTAAGAATTCGATTGGTAACTTTATTTGAGAGAAGAGAATTGTATTGTAAGTATATTTCATTTCGAATAGGATGAAATTTCTATTTAGTACAAAACTTATTTTAATAAAGAACACGGTTGAAAATGTGGCTTAGCACTTTTTTATTTGAACACAAGTGCTTAAGTAAATGCTTGTGGCAATGTTTTGCGTACAAAGTACTGCATACAACAATGTTTTGCATGTCGTACAGCGTTACAAACGAAAATACGTGCGTTTCATAAATAACGCATTTCACAAAGTTGCAAAAGCGAGAAATCGCGTTTGCAACAATGTACGTCTTTCCAAGAGCCCGGGCGAGCCACAGTGTTGCAAATGCGCTGTCGGGGATTGCAACTGTGTTGCCGCGAGTCGCTCCCGAAAATTGCACATTGTTGCAAATGCGTTATCGGGTTTGCAACTTTGTTGCCGCGAGTCACTCCCGAAAATTGCACATTGTTGAAAACTGACGCGTTCGTGCAACAATGTGCGATTTTCGGGAGCGATTCGCGACAACAAAGTTACAACCCCCGACAGCGCATTTGCAACAATGTGCAATTTTCGGGAGCGACTCTCGGCAACAATGTTGCTAACCCAGCAACGGGTTTGTCACAATGTGCATTCGAAAATAATACGAGTTAACGATGTTAAAAGCGAGAATGACACTTGTAACAATGTCACATTCAAGCGAAGTGCTTATAATAATGTTTGCGCACGAAATAATGCTTCTAATAATGTTGCAATCAGAAATAGAGATTCCAACAATGTTTGCGGTCGAGTATAACGCTTCAAGCAATATTGCATTCAAAAGTAACGCGTACAACAATGTTTTGCATTCGAAATAGTGCTTCCATCGATGTTGCATTCGAGAATAGAGACTGCAACAATGTGTCTGAAGTTCCATCTGCAATTTACACAAAAAGAACATTAACTTTCAAATGTTGAATAAAAATTATAAACAATTTCTGACTAATCTACCGCAAGCAGTTAATAATTGAATGCGAAATTAATAAATTAAGCTGTTTTATAAAGTTCAATCATGCAACAAATTCATTTATTACTTTCAATAATTATAAACTACCGTCTACTTTGTTAGTTAACAAGAAACACTAATTGTTTTACAGTCAAAGTACTTCAAAATGAAGGAGAAACTTTATTTTACTATCTACGTTATTAGTAATGTTAAAGCAATGAAAAATTTATTACAAGTATCAATTTTAAACTGTTCACCACATGCAATTATCCTCTAGTGTACAAAAGGAAAGAATACAAGGAATTTCTATTTTAAAAATCAACTAATCTGATGAAACTCTCGATCCTTCCTCTTTGAACGCTGACGGCAGACTGAGCAGAACAACCCCCGTGGTCTTTTTTAGAACCCATAAATTAATCTCTCGATTCGTGACGTCTAATGTCAATTTGGTTATCGTTCGACCAAATAAGCGGAAAATAGACCCTCCTCGCTACTCTTCGACCTTACATTGTCGCCTGAGGGGAAGATGCGACGTAGGTAAATCGTTTAGACAAGTGATTTTCAATCAGCTGTCGATAATGTAGCACGTTGAGAAAAGAACAGGAACCAAGGATTATTTAGTCCTTTTGTCCTCCTACCTGCGTTGGCTGCAGAACAAACATTTAACAGCACGGAAATTAATTTCCAAATGACTCATACGCGATAAATTGTTATTATAAAGGAAGCACCTCAAGGAAAAGTATCAATACTTTTTAAGATTTAAGAAAGTGAAAAAAAACGTAAACATTTCTCTCGTACTTCCTAAATAACAAAAACTAGTTCTCTGTTTTAAAAAAATCGCCTACGAAGTCGAATAAATTTCCGACTGTAACGAAAAAAATAATACAAAAATCGGCACGTGATTCCCTCGTTACTAACTGCCGATAAGACAGTAACCGCGACAGCCTTATCCATCGTGATTGACTATCGAACGAAAGACGTAAGAGTAAGTGTGACAGCCTTATTCTATCACTATTAACTGATTAACAACGAGACGTCGCAACTTCTCCTACATCTCCCATTTCGCTACATAGACCTTAAAAATCCCGTCTGAAGCCTGGCAAGTTTGCTTTACCTGACAATACACGGCAAGTACAGCGAGTCGTTTCGTCTGACTTTTCACGGTCGTTACTACTTGTTTTCCGCTGTCTTACACGCTCATTCAAGTCTCCGGTACAATTAACGAGAATCGCGGCCGGCGCGGCGTCGGAGAGCGAACTCCGTCGTTTTTAATCGTCGCCGATTATTTTTCTAATTTTATCTTC